AACAGTGTTTCATTTGCCACAACTTTTAATGCTAGCAAGGGTGTAGAAGAAATAAAGAAGGATTTATACTGCCCATCTCAGTGCAAAAACAGATGAAAAACTATTTACCTGTAAATGAGCATACGGATCCAGAAGTCACTGGTTGAAGTCAGCACAAGGCACTGTGAAGAGCCCACAAAGACCTGCACTTTCTCAATGATACAGAGTCACTGAGAAATGTCTCCCTTCAAGAGGGCTTGGATCAATGAAGCTGAAATTCCTAAGCATGCCTTCAGAGGTGAGGAATGAACTCTGTGGGGGCCAATGAAATCATGCACTGCTAGSTCAACATGGTGTACATCTTTTCTGAAACCTGAAGTGCTATCCTGACACAGATTTAACATTCAGCTGAAATTTTTAGCATCAAAACCAAAGAGAAAACCGGAGCGTGACAGTTTGTGCCATCTGCATGGGATATGAGCATGAGTTTTAATGGCATCAGTTAAATCATTATTAAAAAAATTATATTCAAATCTATTTACTGATTATAAACCCTTCAACAAAAAAAGGCTAGTGGCATGTGCACTTGCACCTGCTCCCTTTGTGCRATCCAGTTGACTTCTYGCATAGGAAGTTCTGCATCAGTGGYGACAGCAATCGACTGGCAGGCATCCTTCCTCCCTTCCCGTTCTTTTTCTGGTACACTAGTACAGCAGAGTCTAAAAAAAGCCACACCCAAAATTACTCAGTGGGGTGAGGGGAGAACAGAGTACTGGAAATGCATAGTATTAGCCAGCAGGCTACTACTGTGATGAAATGAGAGCTGCATTTTGACAGTATTCTTGGTCACTTGCACTGTGCAGGAGGTCAAGGCTTTACTATGCAYGCTCTTTTCCTCCTGGAGACTCACCACCTCCTCCGCTGCACAGCAAGCATTTCAGGCTATTTCTATTTTTATGAACTTCCTAGACACTCTCCTCATCTTCCCTTTAAAAATGTATCTTTACTGTATCCCRAGCTTGTCCACCCACTAAGCCATTTTCAATTCCTCTACCACTATTGAAATAGATGCTGAATAGAATCAGAAGCCAAAAGACAACAGTGAGAGTAGCAAGCAGACTTGTGTTTAATCAAGAGTTTATACAGTWTGTGGCAAATTTTTTAAAAGACATTTCTCTAGTTACTATTAGACACACTATTTTCCCACTACAGCTACATTTCTTAATTTGAGATATTGCAGACCAAACTGAGCTCTTTTCCCTTCTGCAGTTGCAAGTTTAACTCCTCAACAGTAGCAGTGTCTGCAAACTAGTTCTACCTCACATGTRCTTGGTAGCCCAATACCAAAAAAAGCAAAGCAGGAATGTTTTCTCCTCCTGGGCACTGAACTGGTCTGCAGCCAGAGCTCAGGGCTGCACCCATAACCCACCAGCAGCAGTGCCAGAGCAGGGCACCMTGACCCAGTGCCTACAGAGGTGGCWCAGAAAGTTTAGGCAAGGGACAAGAATGGTTGCAAACATTCTTTACAGGAGTTTTCATAGCAATATAAACTTTATACATCACAAGAGCCAAACACATATAATCAGTGTAGAAAGACTGAAAAATGTTGGAGACTCRGCTCCTTTTCCCTGTATTTTGGCCATATGCTCTTCTGGTACACTTCAAACACAACAAATTTGTCTGAGAAACAGTTTTTGGAGAAAAAAAGATCAGTAGCAATCCTATGTGTTCATCTTGAATTSCCAAGTGGTGTGCTCCTACTTGGGATGCCTAGAAAAAGACCAGTAACACACACCCCTCTGTTGCTATGACATTGTGTGTACATGACCAATGCCACCCTCCAAACAGCAGCAGGTGTAAGGTGGAAGCCTAATGTTTGCAGCCCTTTGAGAACAAGTGATAGGTAAGGTAGCACCCAGCTGAAACCACTGTATTCTATTCACATTACCTTAAGAACCAAACAGTTCTAATTTTGCTATAACTGACTCAGTCTGGATTGGAATACAGGATCTAAAGGCAAATTAAATTTCACCATCCACATTAAGAAATCAATTYAGCTTCTGAACCGGATCAGCTTTGAATTTAGTTGAAATGTGGTTTCATGAAAGACTCCAGTTCAGCAGTAGATATAATTATCACACCCATCTTAATTAGATCATTAACTCAACTTTAGGATCCCCAAAGGAATATTGAAAGCTTGGTCCAGTTACAGTGAACTTGGTCCAGAACACTGAAGCTTATCCATCAAGATAAATATATTAACAGTTCTTTGATACAACAGATGCTTGATGAGTAACAGAGCAAATGCCTTTTTAACTATGGTTTTTWAAAAGGATTATTAAACTGCACTAAAGTGTATGCTGTTATCTTTGAGGGGAAAAAAGTATAATATATGAGAAACAATTATTACAGAGCACATGGAACAYGATTTTTCAAGCACTAGTTTCAGAACTGAAAACATTTGAACAAAGGCTCTCTGTGGAGAGTCACTTTGTAACCAATTCAAGGCTTTAAATAGCTATTGTTTAAAAAAATTGTCAGCTATAGAAATTGTTTTCCCTTCAGATTCCAAATCCTGTCAGACCAGGGTGATTAAAATGTTGCATTAAAAAAGGGGGGGAGAGGAAAAGCCAATCTAATCACCCCTTATAAAAGTAAAAGCAGCTACTCAATTTTTAAAGTACCATGAACAAAAGGCTGTAGCCCATCTATCATTCACATATGGATCCATGTAATGATTCTTCAATTAGAATTATTATCTGTACAGCAGCTGAAGACTGAGAACTGCTGATACACTGCAGATGAGAACATTTGCTGGTCTCTGRGCTCCAGCCTTTCTTAAAAAATGATGATCGCACAATATAGATTGCTCGGTTTATATGTGTATTAAGCTGCAATGCCAGCATTTACATTTGCAGCATTACAATTTTGCTTTCTTAGGCTCAAGAGAATTTGCTGCATCTGGTAGATTTTATTTGCTTTGGATCTTAGGCAATTRTTACGAGCAAAGCACAAACAGGCAATATTATTGCTCCAAGTCCTTTGTTTTGTTGATTATCTCAGATACCAAAAAAAAAAAAMGTAAACTAAGAGTAGGCCTGTGAGATGGGTCATTCAGTGTCAGTTCACTTTCACTGTATCATCCCAGCGCTATTTTTATGAGGCACAGCCATCTGCTCCCTCATTTCTTCCACCTGTATAGATCCAGATAATCTAAGATGCAACATCAGAGAAAGATAAGCTGCTCACACAACAGTTGCGGGCCTGAAAGGGGGGAAAAGTCACTTTGGTGATTCTCACCACAGCAACCTGAGTGGTCCCTGCCTGCCCTYGCACCCTGCCCTCCTGCCAAAGGGGACTATCTTTGGTAAGCAAGTATCTGTAGCACATCCCTACTGCAGCAGCACAGTGGGCTGGCTCTATGGCCACTGCTTCTCAGCCTGGCAACGCTCAAACACACCCCAGTTTCAGTGCTTGGGAACACACTGCATGAGCAGACAGATCACTTGGCTACATGGCAGTAACTCAGAGCAGAAGACAGGCAGCAAGAATTGTAACCTCCTAACCCTGTCTTTCTGAATCCTCAACTCTCCTGGAGTATTCCAAATGCTTGCCCATTCCTATTTCATGGCTTCTAACCATATGCTGTGATGTAGAAGATGATGGAGAGAGGCAGCTACATAAATAGTAGCTGGGAATTGGTATCTCTTCTTGGTGTTTCTACTAAGGATTCCTTTTCTATGAACCCTATGTTCTGGAGCWGAGGCAGCCTTCCCAGATATCTCCCTCATAACTTAGACACTGGAAACAGCAAGTTGGCTCTTACAGATTTTTGAGCCATGAGAAAGTCTTTTGTGACATGTGTATGTAGAGACTTGAAATAGGGCTGCACTTAATTAAAAAGCTTTTCTTTTTCACTGTACAAGCTTGGAAAGATCTTCATAGAAGGCAAATACTGCTAATGTATTTGTTATTTGTTTTATGCTGCATGGTTTGACATATGGCCATACCACTGCCATCTTTCACAGTACTGCTTTTAGTGGGTGAGAGCTGCCATAGCCATGAAATTTCCCTGTAGCTGTTATACAGGGGAAATGAAACCTCTGTTCATGGGTATCTGTTCCAGTCTTATTTCACTACTTTATTATAGACATTACTGAACAGAGAGCAAGAAATTTATACTCTTACTTGAAAAATACTTATTATCCTCTACTGAATCTCCTGGTTCAAATATGCGGTAAAGAACCATGCCTTCTCTATTTCCTTGGAAATATAATGCTATTTGATTACTTAAAATTTCCTTACATTTACGTAGCATTATAGAATGGTTCCGTCTCAAAAAAAAAAGAATATTAATTAAAACTGAAGACATTTATGAGGATAAAACAAGCAAATAAAAATGAAAACTGGTACAAAAGCTACCAAAGCAGTATAACATGAATATTTAGTTCAAGATTTATACATTATGGTGGGACAACACATTTCAAAAGATTTTAGATTTTCTCACTTCAGGTGGCTTGACTAATATCTGTGAAGAACTTGAATGACACAAAATAAATTTTATTTTTGTTCTCAATTAAAGTCATCACCTTATCATTTTTTAATAAGAAAGGTTTAAGAAGTAAAAATCAAAACAGACTACTTAGCTCTATGAACTCCTGTTTAGAGCTTTGTTGAAATTTTCAGCTTTGATTGCAAATGGGAAACATTTCAAAGATAGAAAAAACCACTAATCGAGGAAGCAGTTCAATYTGTATTAGAAGTGACTGAATTACTTGCAGCAGACAATTTATTATGAGACCATAAAAGGGCAGAGATTTTTCTCTCTCAGAGAACAACACTGCTGTTTTCTTTATTCAGAATTGAGATACTACTCATCAAAATACTTATTTTAGCGGCTATCACGTATCTCCCTAAACTCTTGTAGTAATAGTGCTAACATTCACATTCTGTGACTGGTCATCTAAATCAGTAATTTATACTCATTCAGACAAAGAACAGCAATATCAAAAACCAGGAAGGTATCACTAAGGCCTGGTGGTTTTCACAGACAGCTCCAATACCTGAATACCGAGGCAGTGAAGGCAGTGAGCTGCAGAGATGTGGCTCCACGTTTGTGGAAGTTTTACTGACTGGAAAAACAGAGGTACAGCATGCTCTCAAATAAAAAAAAAAAAAAAAAAGGGGGGGGGGKCAGGGAGGGGAGGGTAAAGAGAGAGAGGAAGAAAACACAAGCCATTTATACCTCCTTACAGCCACAAGAGCTCAGTGGCCAAGTTATGTGATGTGTCTCCTAGGATGTGTTTGTACAGCAAACAACAACTGTGACTGCAGTCTGGGGAGCTGTACCTGCACAAGCTTCAATCAATCTAACRTGTAACTCCAGCAATAACAATGTGGAAACAGCAGTTCAATTTAACTTAAGATACAATGGACCTCATTAAGTGAGAGCACCTTCATGATGATTAGCACATTATTAACCCCCACACATAGCATCACCTCTAGTATGAATTCATTTGAATGTGCTGGACAGACAATCCCTCTAAAGCAGTGCTAATTTGATTAAGTGATTTACAGAGGTCTCTGAAGGATACATGTCTCAGACCCCACCCAACAAAGTAACTAGAACATTTCCTGACAGAACTCATTAATTATGGTATCCTGAGCAATACTACTTCACAGATGGAAAAGAAAATGTTTGAACATTATGTTCCCTTTGAACAGTAAATGACATAGAAGCTATGTACAATGTAGTAACCACATGTAAGAATAACTACACATTTTGCAACCTACAGCACTGTCACTCCAGTGRTAGGGAACCTTTGTTTCAGGAACAGACTCTGAATCTATGGTTTGCTAACTGAATTCAAATCAGCAACAGCACAGGGCCTCAGAAGCAACAATGCCAATGGTAAGAGACACTACAGAAATGGAAGTATATAAATTTCAACAACAGTGGACCAAAAAAAGTAAAAATAGTCTCAGGTCACACTGACTCTTAAAACGGCTGTATTAATCCTAGGTGGCATTCCCCCTTTTCAGTGAGTTTCTTTTTCTGATCACCCTATCAACTAGGAAGAATGAAAACATAAAAAAACAAAGCAACACCCTACTCCCTGCCYGCCCCCCATGACTATACCTCTTCACAACTCCTGACTTTCAGTATTAAAGCTCCTTTGGGCTGCTGAACTATGCAAATACTTTCAAGGGACGAGTCTGACAGGATATGAGGTACTCTAGATTCCTCTTTGCCACTGGAGGCTGACTAGTTCTAGATAGTTCATGACAGGTGAGAGCACCTGAAAAACATTACTATTCCAACTCTGTCATTTCCCCAAGCCGTTTGAACCCTGTATTTAGAAAGCACTATCCCAACATTTGCATAAATCTTTGAAAAGAAATTAAAAGTGACAAATTCTCAAAAACAAASTATTTTTAGAGCAGAGAAATTTGTTGCTTAGATGGTCTATACCTAGGAGGGAATTCAATCACTGCCACAGACAATCTTGTTAAACAAAAACAAGTAAATAAACATCCTGTGATTTGTTAAACACTGGTCCAAATAGCCACACACAGACTGAAAGGCAAACTCTTGAGTCTTTATGAGCATAAAGCTTTACTTTGGCAGACACTGAGTGCATTCCATACATTCTAGAAAGTTCATGTCTGGTCCTTGGTTCTTGAAGAGAGTATCACCTACTTTCTTAAAGCTGAATTCCACCTGAATTTTTATTATTGTTTTCAATAACAAGAATATGAGATCAAGAATAAATTTCTGCACTCTAGATGCACAGTTCTAACCGAATACAAACCTGACATACTTCAGACAAAACTTTATCTTCCTTTGTTACTAAATCTGCATCTTCTAGTCTTCTAGCTGTTCTGTGGCTGAGTTGGAATCACTTATTTCATTYATACTTTTTTCTTGCTTTGCTTCTTTTCTAAAGGTCTTCAAACACTTGTCAAGTCTTTTTAGGAATACATCTACATCTTGCTTTTTAATTCCAATTGCTGAGGCAGCATTGAGGTAAGCACAAGGATAGTCATTTGCATGTGACATAAAGCCTTTAAAAGTGTAGTTATTCACAGTTTGTACAGACCCACAGGGAACAACCCTGAAACAAACAAACAAAATTGTGATTTAGTTAAAAATGCCTTGATATTTTATGTGGTAACTAGGTTGAACACAATTACACAAATTCCTACTTAAGTAGGCAGTTCCTATTTCTACCACTGATACTTAGCACCAGCATAACTTTTAAAATCTGTTGGAATACCTTTTGTTATGTAACAAAAGGGAAAACGTGAAAACTTTACATCAGGAAAAGAATTGGAGAGTTTTAACTTCAAAAATTGAAACTCTTGAATAATTTCAGCCAAAGATGGTTTAAATTACAGGACCAGCCATAGGACAGGCAAATTAAAAAAAAGCATCTAACCACAGTACATATAGATTTACTGTCATTCATCTGTGCAGGAAGTGGAATAATCCAAGCTAATGAAGCATACCTTCTGATGTGGAAACATTCAGTCCTGCTACAAAAAATAACATTAAGTCTATGGCAGAAGTTAGCATGGCAGCAGTAATATTCAGATTAAGGAATGCTGTCAAAACAAATTTTAAATAATTCTCTTCATCTAAGAGGTTTAAACCAAAATAATTAGGAATTATTTGGCTTCCATTTCATTTGAACAGTGTCTCYAACAAGAAATTCAGCTCAGACTGGCTCAGGCTATAGATTTTTAATATTTTAATTTTTTTTTTTAAATACAAYTAGTTCCAGAAAGCAGAAGTTYTTTTTCCATTTGACAAAAAGCTATGGCTATGTAGGGTATTAAAAGCTTACTCCCTTGACATTCAGCATAACCATATTTGCTGCAATAAAGAAAACAAAGATCTTCCCTTAGTAGCTTACACCAAACTGTAAGATCMGACGACAGTTAGAAACTAAATGAAACCAAGGGATACTAGGGAATAATGACACTAAATAAAATGGGCATACATTATCTATTTCGGCTACCAAAATAGACATAGGAAGCCTCACTGCTAACTCAGGCAGGAAGACATTACTGTCTCCAACAGTGATGAAGAAGGGTGATTACTCTCTSACTTGTTATTGTCAGACTGTCTTCTGTAATCCTGACACAATCAGTAAAAAAACATTTTACAGGATTTCGTACCATATATGCTAATAATTTTTTAAAAATTCATAGTATCCTTACCTTGCCCCAGAAACTTGTCTTGTGAAAAGCATAGATCCAAGCTGGGTAACAGCAGCATCATTAGTTYCATTGAGATTCTTCAGTGACATGGCTGAAGTAACACAAGGTCAGGTTAAAACTGCTACAAAGCTGCTTTTTTCCAAAGAACCACCACAAATGGCAATTTCTTTTCCAACAACAAGAATCTAGCCAAATATTTGTGTTCATATACAAASAAAAAAAGAAACACTACATTTAATAATTAATTTTTTTTCCATAAACTGTCATAGATTACCTCTTTGGTTAGACTGTATGCAGATTCTGCACAGGTGGGCAGAATTATTTTGGTGTCCAGTGGAATTTTTGGTTAGAACAAATACCTTGAGTAGGAATTCCATAATCTCTTTCACAACACTAAGATGATGGGAAAATAATTATTATTATATACCSTAATATTATAATTATATATACCCTAATTAATTTTTAAATCTGCTTTTTATAAAGTATTACTACATGCTAACATTTGCCTGTCTTGAACTTATTTCTGTCAAATGAATATGTTGGACAGGAGCAAAGTAATGGGTCCAAGTTACTACTCTACTTTTATAGTAGGTTACCTTATTGGATTCAATTTAGTAGAGTGCAGGGATGTTTAAGATACAAGAATGGTATGTGAAAGTGCATTATGAATCCACAGTATATTAAWGTTTTTTAAAAGTTAAAACCCTAACAATTACCTAAGGAAATCGGATTATGTGGTGTGTCTAACAGTCTCTCATTGTGGTTATCTGCCAGCTTCTTCAGCTCACTTGAAAGATACGAAAACATCTCCTGAAAAAAAGATGCAATATTTTTGTTATTAGCTATCAAACAGAGAAAATAGCACCTATTTCACAAAACTGTTAAGTCTCCATTACATCCTACAGGTGCTCAGCTGATCCTCTTTTCATGTGTACCAAGTAAAGTGGATCAGACAATTCTCTGAAATAATTCTATAAAAGAACAGCTCCATTTCCTGAAGGCTGTTCTTATCTCTCAAGCTGATACAAAAGTCTCTATCTCTAATCTATGTGCTTGGGATGTCATTCATTCTCTCTGTGGCCCTGAAAYCTAGGGAGGTAAAATATCTTCAAGAGATTCCCACTGCACAGCAGGTCTTACCCTACCCCACTTTTCACTGTCCATGCCTTAGCCCCCTAAGCAACTGGGAATGAACTGTTACCATTACAGGGACACATTATGGCAAATTACTCTTTACTTTGTCTTCTCTCCATTAATATACTCCAGACTAAAAAYAGGGTATTTTGTTACCATTTATCACACAACCATATTTCCCACTARTGCAGACACTTCTTTTTCTGTATCAGAATAACAATCCAGTCTCTTAAGAAGGCTATGAGTACACATTTGTCTGCATTTTGTTTCACACCATATCCACGCCCCTGAAAGCTCAGCTCAGTTTAATCTGTCCTTCCCCTAGGACCTGTCCCCCCCGTTCAAGCTGACTAAAAGCATGGAAATATCTGAATTTCTGCTATCACTTAATTGGATTGCACCTTTACTGTGAAAGTCATAAGACTGAGATTCATAAATGCTTTGTCTCAGATACAAGTAACACTGCACACAAAAGGCTGTTTCTTTTACTTGATCTGGATTTTATATCCTCCCTCTTCCTCAGTAGTAATCTATGATAATTGCTCATGCTCTTCCTCACTTTAATTTATTCCTCTTTAGATACCATCTCGGAACACTTATGGACAAAGTGAGAACAAACAACGTTCTTCTTATTGCATGTTTTAGCTTCTTTTCCATCCTTTTTAATGCTTAGTCTCTCATAAAAACTAGCAAAACCATACAGACACCAGGTAGTCTTTTCAAAAGATATTAAACACCAGGTTTCTCCTCTTTCTGGCCATAAAAATTATGSTGCTTATCTGCTTCAGTGTGACTGCCTGTTTAAGCATCCTCATCAATTTCTGGACCTGACAAGTGATTTTTCATTCTTTAAATAGAATTACCTCTTCTGTTTGTAGATCAGTAGCCTGCTTTGACCTGAGGACTCTGACAGATACAAATTACAGCTTGCGATCAAAATTATGCTTTTGAACAGAACCTCCCCAAGGTCTTATGAAGCCAAATGAGCTTTGTGGTACCTAAGTTAGAAGAATGTTCCAGCTGCTTYTCTTGAACCACTGCAGGAAACCTCATCTCCCTTCATGAGCAACTAAATGAACAAAGCTCCCTACCTGTACTTCCTAATATCACAGAACGGGTTCAGACAGAGAGGAACAAGTACCCTCTTACTGGCTAAATGAATCAGGCTATTGATACAACTATCCACAAAAACATAAAGCTTCTGTAATGCTTGAAACAACAAAACRTTTGGGAAGTATCTACAGTTAATTATCAGAACTAGAAAAATAAAGAATCTATTTCTTGTAAATCAAGTGGTTTTATGGTTTCAGTTCAGAGTTTATTTACAGYTCACTCACAGAAGCTGAAAAGCATTTATGTTTCAAATGCTCAGACACTTTTGCCTTTCCTCTGGTTCCTCACTGCATATAAGCACATTATTCATTTGTTACTTTCCATAATAAGAATCACTAATGTGCTAGYGATTTTATTATTTTTTGGAATACAAATAATAAATTAATTTGTGCTCCCTCTGCTGGCTATTTACTTCTAAAATTGAAGTATTATAGAAGTGTACATAAATTGTGCCTACTATGGAGATATTACTGGTGAAATTAGTACTGAGAAAAAAAAATATACCAGAACAAGACCAATTTCCAAATAAYTGATTTTTGTGTGGTGTTCCTAGGTAATTGTATGATAAATCTCTAACAGTGTTACAGAAAAAAACAGCTGAAAGGAATACTGAAAATAATACTGAAAGTTGGTATTAATTTTTATACCAGCATAAATGTATTACATTTAATTAAATCTATTCAATGAAATTAGGTTACTAGACAAGACTTKACATACATAGGAATTTGTTAAAACAAAGGAGAATGGAAAGATGGCAAAAAAACCTCCAAGTATGTATTCCCATCAGTTTGACTGAAGCTACATGAACACAAACTCAAAGCTTTGTATTTTTATGAACTACACTACTTTGCATCTCTCCACTGGAAGCWGTCTAGATATTTTATAGTTTCAGAAGTTTGTTGCAAAATAGATTAACTGCCTTTCCAAAAAAAAGGATTAAAGCAATATTTTTGTGAGGTCAAATCTATAACCAACCTYCATTATAAAATATTTCTCTTATATGGAAAATTTATAAGCACCCTAAGCAATTATACATAATTGAGCTCTTACATAATAGATTTTCTGTAGCAGGCATTCAAGTTTTCTCCAATGAAGCCAACTACTATGCTAAAGTTATACTGAACAACCCAAACACTAAATGTCTCTTAAGTTTCATTATTTAATTCACTCTTTTACCTTAGAAACTTATCACAAAACCTCATTAGGATAGAGAAATGAATGTTAAACTACGTGGAAATGTTTTTCACTTATGGTCACCTAAGCCAACAAAACACCTTAAAAATAAAGAACAAGTCAACAACACTATATGCACCAAATATGCCAAATAACTCAATTATTTGGACAAAACATCCTACTTCCACATATGTACATTTCCAACAGGCGTTGTAACAATCATTAGAAATATTTGAATCATACTATATTTACAGTATAAAACTATTTTTAATAGAACCTACACTAGTATGGCTGACTCTTCATTTGTTGCTCCATTGTGATAGGCACTGTTCTTCCAARTGAAAATAACTGGAGGGAAACAAGTAAGGAAAAAGCCAGTAACTCCAGAGAAAAAGAAGACGGGGGTACTAAATCAGTCATCAGTCCCATACTAGCTGACAAAGAGGCAACTGATGAAGGCCAGAAAAGTTTTTGTGCAGGGTTGAAACTATCCTAGCTGGTTCTAACCACCCAGCTTGCTTACACCCTGAGTCTGTAACACTTTGCCTTCCTCCCTGTGTCACTCATCTGAAAAGACAAGCTGTCTTCAGGGAACAGACACAGAGCTGCTTATGGTGCTGAAGATGACACTGCRCAAGAGTCATTTTACAGCCTCTCCACACTAGACACACACTGCCAGCTCTCCTRTGCTTGCCTGACACTGATCTGGTCCCATCTTACTTTGCAGCAGCTGCTTTATAATGCAACCCTCACAGCCTCCCTTCTGCTTTGTGCCTCAGAATGACCAACTRCATCTGAGCTGTGATCTGACCAGARCACTTGGAYAGCACTCCAGMCAGCAGAGGAGCTGCAGTGCTGAGCATGGAGACCTGTCCGTAGATGAGAGCCCAGAAGGATTGCTTCCTTGAAACACAGCCAAACACATGATAAACTATACATGTGTGTGACACCTGCTTATACCACACACCTCCTAGACAGATTCTCTTGCATTGCAGGAATTTGTTCTGGATTTATACTATAARGTTTTAAAAATATGAAATCAACTACAGAACCTTTAAATCTTATATCATCTATATCTAACAGATGTGTAATCTAACAGGAAGTGCCCAGTAAGTCCTGCCAATCTGATTTGCTAACACTAATACTGACAATCACCATATTCACATTTTTTTAAAGGTCTTCCTTAGCAATAGCAATCAACACATTTTCTTTTCAGCACTTGTGAGACCTTGAGTTCACGTACCACTCCAACACAGGCTGTAAGTATGGAGGCCTCTCTGAAATTCCATTCATGCTCAGCACCTTTTTAACTACCCAACACCATTTAAAAGAGTTCACTTAAACTGATTTGCCTCCAGCTACTCTAAGTTTGAATATGGTTATATATACTTCCCACGAGGAAAAGCCAGCAATAGTCTCATATTTGACAGGCTACAGTGTAGCAAACTGACCAGAAAAAAAGAAGTAAAAAATATCTTTCTTTGACAATAGCTGATTTTTTTTACATTTTTAATATCCCTCATTAAATGGCTTTCCCCTTCTTCCATCATAACTAGAGCAGCAATACAAAATCCCACTCAACTGTACGAATAATTTATTCCTATCAGAACAACAACATCAATGATAACTCATGAAACGTAAACCTAGTTTACTGACTTGTAAAACCCAAACAATTTCCTCTCACTTTGTATGATTTTAAATATGTAGATACATACTCCATAAGGACATAAAAATAACTCCACTTGTACTCTCAAATTAAAGACAGATGGATACTAATATAAAATGCTCTATCATATCCCAAGTAACACAGAAATGCACTTAAGAAAATAAGAATTATCTTGATTGTTAAAGGACGCCTAATGATGAAATCTGTAACTGCTAGAAACAAAATAAAATCATCACCTCTTCAATACTATCGATATAATAATTAGTTAAGTGAAATAAAAGGAGCATATTGGACAGTAGTTACCAGGTATTAAACCTGGTTTGTAGGGTTATRAATGTAAACCCTGAATGTAGGGTTCTTGCTATCCATAAAATCTGAGATGAGCCTGTTGTTTGTGCCATTACATAGTGTAACAACTATATTTACTTCACATGGCYTGGTTTAGACACACACACATGTATGAAAGTAGCAACTTTCATGACCTAGAAATGCAAAATATGGGACATAGCATAACCTGTACTGAGGCAAAAAGTTGCTATAAAAACATTACCTTTACATAATGTTATGAGTTCTTTAAAAGCAAAGATATTAACAATTTTGACTATAGACCAGCTGTTACCTGCATTGCAAAAGGACCTAGAATGGACTACTGAGATCAGGAAACCACTGTTCTAACATCACATAACCATATAAAAAGGAATACTGAAAATTCAGTACTCCTTCAAATTGTTACATATATCTCATACTCTTGGACCAACAAATTGGAAACTCCACAGCTTCCAGCTTATCAGAAAAATCCCACTCCATGTACATGCTCCTCTTCCTCCTTTAATCTCTTCCCTTCCTGTATTAACAGCTAATCTGTGTAAAAGAAAAACTGGGCAGATAATTTTTTTCCTTGTTTGAGCAAGACCAATTCTTCTCAGAAGTGCTCTGGTCTTTCGGGCCTAAACTCAAATAACCCAAAGTTAACACCCATGTGAATAAGGATCAGGTAAAAGGAGAAAGAAAAAAAATACCTGAAGTTTTTTATAGCCGATTTTTTTTTTTGTGAGTAGGTGCAGCTGCACCAATATAGAAAGGAGTACTCAATGTCAAGCTATAAATAGTTCCTGCTGGAAGCTTAATAGCTCTGCCTCTGCTTCCTCAGAGCACAGGCAATAAACTATCACTATTGGATTTTTACAATTCAGGAACAAACAGATTTAAGCAAAAATGTTTCTATTTCTATAGCAAATCCAATAAAAAAAACATATTTATGCCATATTTAAGGTTCTGTTTATAGAGTATACTCACATTTGGAATAAAAAGACCTAAAGTTGTAAAAATATAATACTTTATTCACTTTAGAATTCTGCTTCCAAGAAAATGAGATGACTCAAAATATACAGCTATTCATTAAGACATTTATGAAAGAATTACTATTTATGACTCAGACAATATTTCTACTGCCCTTTCTACATCTGCTACTGGTAGAAATCGAACATCAAAACCAGCTTTGTAGAAAACAATACATTCACTTGAGATTCTTTTGGACATAAGAGTAAAGAGGGAAAAACACATTTTRCTTTTAATGAAGACACAAAACATACATGGCAATACATACAACAGTCCAAAATTAAATTTTGCAATAGAGGCAAAAGTGGTAACTGCTTTCAGTGTTTCACAAGCTGTTTTCACTTTAGTTGCACAGATCACTTCTTAGTCATTGTAATGCCACTAAGTTGGTTTGATTTCCTATAGTCTAGCTAGAGAATCTCAATTCCAGTACTGAATTTCTGGATGCCTCTACAAGCAGCTAGAAATAAGTCACAGCATCCAGAACTACTCCTCTGCCACATAATAAGAGACAGCAGCAAGCTTTCAGCAGGAAACAACTGGAACATAGCTTCCAACTAAAATAATGAAACAGATAATGCACAATTTAAAAGGATTATCTTAACAGTGTTTAATTCACAGCATTTCCTTGTATAAAGCCCCTATAAAAATCTTTTGTATTATTACATAAAGAGAAAAATCAKGCATATATTAATTCCAGAATTAAGGATAACTCACTCAAGATATACAGATTCCAACCTGACACCCACTGGATTTTTGTACAGTGCAATTAKATGCAACTTAAAACCCGTAGTCCGTGAAAAGCAGAGAAGTAACCTAGCTGTGTGTCCCGACGAATACCTAAAGTGACAATATTTTCTCTTTTTGTTGCAATGCATAGTATTTATAACCCAACCAGAAGCTGTGATTCTCCAGAGAATGTAGTACACAAACATTTAATTAAGCACTATTATAGCACAAAGGCACAATAGGAACAAAAGAAGAAGAGCACAGACCCTGGGTTACTCTGAGTGTCCGATCTCATGGAAGCAGTGTGACCACGTTAACACAGCACAGTACTTCTTTGTTTAAGTTTTTGTGGACAAAATTCTACAATATTAGTCACACTTTAGAACAACAAATATGAATATTGTACAAGATAGTACAGGACCTCAGTTTAGTTTCCTGGTTTGAACAACAAGATGTAAATCATGCTTATTCATGAGCACCATTTAGACAAGAAGTAATTATTCATATTCACCTTCCAGATTCAGAGCTCTGAGCTCAGAATAAGTTCAATGGCTTTCCAGGCAGAAACTAGATTTACTACAGAAAGCAGTTTTGCAACAAGACTTTGTTAACAGCTGACTTCAAGAAAATACTGCTTGCGAAAAAACTTACCTTTCTCTCTTTCAGTAACTTTTTGTAGCCACTGGTTCCCAGAGACAGAAGTGTAATGAGGACATCTAAAGAAGGAGATGCAGATGCTCTTCCTGAAAAAAAACCCCACCAATATACAGATTAAAGTGGCAAAAATAAATTATACGTGAAAGAAAGCTGATAATCAAGTTTTCTACAGTTATTTTGTATGGCTGAAATCAGTCCATGAACTAGTTACCTGGATACATTTTGCTGATCTCCTGAATGAAGGACTCGTTGAAGCCAGCAATGATAGCACCACCTACTGGAACCATAAAATTTTTGTCCAAGCTCTGAACAAAAGCATCTATCCTGCCAACTCGAGCACCCTTTATCAAAAAGGAAAAAATAAATTCCACAGCATACATTAGAAAAAAAGGAAATGTGATAGCATCATAATTACATAAAATTGTAGCTAAAATGAATATAATTCCTGAAACTCTCTGATACTGCCTTYGTGATCAAAAAATAAAAATCATAGTATTACCTTTTTAGCACTGCTTACTATTAGTACCGTTGCCTGCTTAACATAGTACCTTACAAATTTCTATTTTGCTGTGATTAAAAATATCGATTTTAGTTTCTGCAAGTCTAAGTGTAGCTCCTTTTCAACAACAACCAAAAAGAAACCCCTCAAAATTCAGTGGGAATTATGCAGTTAAAGCTGTTCAACCCCAAACACTTTTTACAACTCTCACAAAAAAGGCTACAAGTTAATACTTCATTAGCAAAGCTTTTTTCAATACATATATAAATTTGCATTAAACAAACAGGSTGTCACAGCACTTCTTCTAAGGCTGCTTGCAAAATCACGATTCAAGTAACTTCTTATAGCAGATATCCCCCACATCCTTATACCTAACCACTAATATTTTCAAAGGAAAAAATGCAGATTCTGCAGTACCATCTTCAATTTGAGTAGCATGGAACTGTGAACTGTACAATTAAAAAGTATGCAGCATAAGAGAACCTGAAGAGTAGATTAAACCCCACCCATTTTAAAATACATGCAAATGCATATATTTTCAAGACTACAAGCTAAATGCATGTAGAAACAGAGTTAATACCTATGGCAAACAGACTGAAAAAAGCAGAGCCAACTAAACCATATTTATTAGTTCTTTGTTTTGATAGTTTAATGTACAGGAAGGAGATAGGAAGAAGCACTCCAAGTTTGTCAGCTTTTTGATGGGAACATGAATGCCAGCAGCTACCATTTGATTTACTTGACAGGAGACCACCAGAGGAAAAGCACAACATGAAAYGGTCTCAAAAGCTTTTTCCTGTGTTACTCTTGCAAGTTCTATTCACACTGTGCTCAGCATGTACCTTTTCCTAAGTATTCATTAATAACTACTTTCTCACAAACAGAAAATTTTATATCACACAAAATATTTTTTTTAATGTAAAACAGATCAGAGCTCAAATGTATATATTTGCATAAGCAAGGAACAAACAGCCTACTGAGTGCAGAAAAAATACAGAAACCAACACGTAAAAATTCCATTTGCAGCATTACAGTCTGAAATGTTTATCATTAGAACATTTCATGCAGCAAAACCCAGCACTTCCACAGCCCTGTTCATGCTAGTTTCTTACTAAACTTSTGCAAGTTAAATACAATAACCATGTACAATAAACATGTACATTACAAATACAGCATATGCCATTTTCTATTTCATAAATTCCCTCAGTCTTTCAAGGCAGAGAAATGCCAACACGATGTTTCTGATGTTTCTGTCACAATTATACGTTTAGCTGGTCTGTCCTGTTAGTAATGTCTTAGCAATCAGAAAAAATTATGATCAGCATATTTCAAATTACTAATATTTCAGTATCCTCTGGATCCTATTAAAGTATAACCTCCTATTCTTTTGAATAGATAACAGAAAAGAGAATATTGAAGACAGTGCACATACAATACAATGAGGAAAAACAAAAGAATTCTGTTTCCTGACTGATTTTAGATATCAAGCAACATCCTCCTCAAACTAAACAGCAATCTAATKGAAATTAAACTTTTTTGAACAAAACATTGAACTTAACCCACTTTCTTCAGCCATTCTCTGTGCCAACAATATTTTAACAGTGACATTTATCAAGTGCTGCTGTAGAATCCTGTACCTTCAATTGAAAAAATCTGTAACTCACATTCTATTGAAGGCTAAATTTCTATTCAAGTATGATGCATTACATTACTTTTAGTCAACAACCTTGGGAAATATTTTAAGAAAGCACATTAAGGACATTTTTCCAYTAGGAAAGATACATGAACATAGACAAAACCTAAATAAATTTAGGGTTACATAAAAAGCACATAATAGAAATAACTATTATGTTTAAACTCTATTTCTGTCTGTTTTGCTTTCTCAAAATCGTTCAAATCAGACATGCATGGGATTACTCTCAAAACTATGAAGCATCTGATAAAATTTGCTTGGTTGTCTACAATCACAGATTTACTTATACTTGCAAAAAAATATTATTGGAAATACACAGCTCCTACCTGCTGGATAAGATGCATACATTTTGAAGACTGAACTCCATATGCATTGTTGACAATATGTGGAATGTCATAATTACCACAAATCACAGCCAATTCCTCCAGCCTGTGAGCATAAAAATGTAATTTAGAGAATTGATCAATTGATCACAGAATTGATTACTGAAACATTGACTACTGATTTCAAGTTAGACCATTAAAAGACTGAAAAGTCTACAGGGAAGTCAGAATGAGAAAGTAACGTTTTTGATTCATACGTCAAGGCAGTACTTGTCATCTTAAGACAGAAATGTTAAGATGAAAATTCCACTGGCTTTTACATTTATCACAAATTGTTTATGTAGTCTGAAATTTTTTTCGCTTTAAGTTTTGTCTGGACACCAGTGAATATGTCCCAAACCATTCTGCTTAAGATACAAGCAATTTTTTTTGATTTCTTTAATGGTAACTAACATGGCTTAGCTAGTCACTTTTTTCCCTTTTCCTTTAATATTCAAAGGGTAGACAGTCTACAGTAGTTTTAAGTGTGTCTTGAGAATCAAAAGCATCCTATAACAGGAAGTTTTTACATGCTTCTGTTTATTTCAAAGAGCTAGTATTTTGACCCTTTGGCTGGAATCTCACTTGCATGTTTCAGATAAACTGATTATGAGAAAATTAATATTTTAAAAGAATGGAGAACCCTAAAATGTCTGAATATGGACATCAACAAATTGAAACTTTGTTCAGCTGATTATTCTTCACTTGCATTTAGAACCCCCTGAAATCACAGTGATCTCAACCTGGACTGAATAATCAAATTAAGATTTATGTGAGCAYCACTGATCATTTTAAGGTCCTTCAGCATTTTAAACATACATATACACAGTACCCTTTTCTGAAGCAYTCMAATCATGCTGCATTTTTTTTTTWAATTAGTCATGATTTTCCCCAAACTTTTGAATCTATTTTAGAAATAGAATCTATTTGAAAAAATTAGGCAACATATAATAATTTAAAGTGATGATAAAGGTAATATTACTTTAAAAAAATCAGGAAACTCTACTTCCAATGCATTTTTACTCTATCTCCTTCTGTACAGCCTCTCACTGTAATTTACTGACATACATAAAAAAATGTGACAGAGTATGAAAACATTTTCCAAGAGGTGACATTCCTTTGCATTCTATTTCTATTACATTGTCTAGTAWCATTCTGCAATGCAAAATTCAGCTGCAAATGTCACATTAAATTTTCTGAACATCAGTTCTTGGGAAATCATCATCACCATATTACCCTTAAAAAAATCAAAAGTACTTTATTATTAGGAAAAACCAGTAATATAATGTACATATTGATTTTCTACAGTCAAGATACTTGCCAGGAGCTGCATGTCCAATATTTTTTCACATTTATCAACACAAAAATATATTCAAATATCACAAAATATTCTGAGTTGCAAGGGACTTACAAGGATCATCGAGTCCAACTCCTGGCCCTGCACAGCATAATCCCCAAGAGTCACACCATGTGCCTGAGAACAYTGCCCAAATGCTTCTTGAACTCTCAGGTTTGGTGCTCTGACCACTTGCCTGGGGAGCCTGTTCCAGTGCCCAACAACCTGCTGGGTGAAGAACTTTTCTCTGATATCCAGCTCAATCCTCCCCTTACTCAGCCAGCTTCAGGCCATTCCCTTGGATCCTGTCATTGGTCACCACAAAGATCAGTGTCTGCCCCTCCTCTTCCTCTCACAGGGAAGTTGTAACTGCAATGAGGTCTCCCCTCAGTCTCTTCTTCTCCAGGCTGAACAGACCAAGTGACCTCAGCTGCTCCTCATATGGAGTCCCCTCATTAACAGAATACTCAAGGAAACAATATGCAGGGCAAAAGTTTTGCTTTCTGATCTGCTGGTTCTTAATCAGACTCATTCCTCACCTTCTAGAGAGACTCAAAGAAACAYAGTTTCCCTCTTACAGGCTTCTTTTCAAGTGCAGGCAGAGAATTTCACAACACTAGAAACACAGAGGGTGAACAACTATGTATATTCATCTTTCTCACCTCCTGATAATGAAAGGAGCAATAAACTATCTTCCATGAGCACTGAAAACAGAAAAGTCTTTCTTCCTAAAAATACTCYATTGAACAATTAGATCTATTTTGCAATATAGAACAAGAGTGCTACAATTTGAAGAGAATGTGTTAGTATGCAAGGGAAGCAAACAATGATGCACAGCACCTATCTGTATCTGCACCTGTTTCCAAGGCCTACAGTGCAGCATTGAATGTGCTACAAATCATATSATAAAAATAAAGTATTAATGTAAATTGATTGCTAAAGTTCTTCATAGCTACAAATAGAGAAATATTTCCCAGTTTACTCTTTCTCTCCTGTTTGCAAAAGTTCATKAAAAGAAAGCTTTGTGCTTCTTTTCTACTACTGAAAGTAAAWAGATACAGAATTCTGGTAAGGACATAAACCAACTGAAAAAGACACCTTTTCTCTTTGGTTCTCTTAAATACAGTAGTTTTAGAAAYACCTCACAGCAAAGGCAGATAAAATAGTGCCTGAGAACAGATGCCTCTCTGAGAAAGAGGGTTTATATGCTAGAGAATTACTCCCACAGAGTTCAACAATACTTCAAAGGAAAACCATAAGTACAGCAACCATAAAACTACTGAATATTTTAAAACACCGCCACCACAATTAAATAAAGCCTTAAAAATGCAGATATTTGAAAACAGGCATTTAAAATTGCAGTTTCCAGAAATGCTGTCAGGATTTCCTTCCTATAAGAAGATGGAGGTTAGGGCCTTCAACAGCTGACAGTTTCCTTTAAACAGAAAGTACATTCAAATCTTCCTATATCTGTGGTATATCATAACATAGTGCCACTACCTAATAATTCATCTCTTAGTTGTAGAGGACAAAACAATCACAGCATGTCAAAAARAGGAAGCAGATAAGGGAAAGATTCATTTACCCAAGCTATAAAACAGACCATTCAATTTTGATAGTTGTGATTTAAGTTAGCCAATAAATCTGCAAGTCAACTTCAAGCGATGTTCCTAGCATTCTGACAGAATTATATAGTTTTAACTCCCATCTTTTCCTCTAGCAACTAGGTTAACCTATGATAAATACTGGGGTTTTTTTTTTAAGGTAGGAAAAYAGAGTGAAATATATCTTTACTCGTCACATTTCAGAGTCAATAACATTTCTTTCCTATGCTTGTGAATAGTCAACTAAATTTTCCAAATAACAAAGTATTTAACAAAGAAGCATACACTGCAGAGGAACTCTAAACAAAAGTCTTTTCAATTTTGTGATAAATTAAAAACATCTGAAGTGAAACTACTGAGATACTACATTTAAAAACATGTTTAAAAAGTCATTAGTATTTCCTATTTCAGCATGCTACATACAGGCCCACAAAACCACACCTATTCCGTTGTAAAACCTAAGGAATTTGCTTCTTGGTACTTATTTTCTTAGGCAAACAGAGAAAGTAGGTTTAGCAAATGACAACCATGCTCCAGCATGTCACCTTCAGATTGAGAAGTATTTCACAACCAATGCACAGGTTGAAATAATGTGTCAGATATTCTATTTCCCCTTATAACATGCAGTGTACATCTCAGCTTCAGCTAGAGCTTGAATGACATCTTTGTAGAAACTTCAGAACTTATGTGTATGGACATGTATTATTAGGAAAGAATGCAATGTATTTTATATTGGTTTTAATGGTGATTTAGCAGATGGAAATTATAAGTAGCATCATGCAATCAGGCAGCAAACTGTGAAACCAAGGTACAGCAGGGCAAATTGCATGCTACAGTCATAAAACACATCTGCCCCAGATGCTTCCAAGAATTCCCCTGTATTGATACATCTTAATTACCCTTATAAAACATCAGCATAATACAGGAAAGAGTAAGTCAAGAAGACTTTAAATTTAGCTGTAGCTTTTTTTTTTTGTAACTATGAACTGCCTAGGAAAATTCATCACAGGCTGGAAGAGTAGAAAAGGCAAAAGAAACATTAAAACATGCATTAGCTATGGAGCTACATTTCCTGGATTATGTCTCTATGGCAGTCTACTTTTACTACTTCCATGAAACTGTAAGAAAACCACTAGCAAAATGACATGAATTTCACCACAAGGGATCATCATTAACCCCACCTCTATGACAGAAGACAAACCTTCTGTGTAATAATAACTTTTTTATTATACTTTTCTGGAAGGTGATTAAAGCACCTTTGCTAATTGTTGGCAGAGGCAATTTTAGGAAGATAGATGGTCAAAACATGGAAGGGTTTTGGGTTTTTTTGTTGTGGGGGAAAGGGGGGATGTTTATTTGTTTTTACAGTAACAAATAACACACTTGTTACAAAGACTGCTCACCTATCAGGTACCCTTGGAGCAAAGCAAGATGTTGTAGAATGCACACAAAGAATATTTTCAGCACCAAGAGCCTTGATTTTGGTCTCCACTGCTTCGAGGTCTGTCCGTAGCTCATCACCTTCTAATACATTTTCTATCACCACAGGCTCAAAACCTGACCAAAAAAAGCAAGACCTGAATGTAACTCAGCAAATCTCTGACTAATTGTGGGGTTTTAGTTCCAGTATACATCTGAAAAAAACCTTCATGCTTCTGCTGTTTTAACAGATTTTAACAGAAACGACCGTGAAAATCTGACATTGTCACTTTCTGAGCACATTTCCTAGAACACATAAATTTAAGAGAGAGATTTGAACCATGAGCTTTGAMTTTACATAATTCTAAGGACAGCAAATTAGGCATCTTACTCTGAGGGCGAACTGTAACTTCTTTAGTATTGTGCTCTCATTTGACTACTTCATACATTTTTGTCCCAATGCACACACCTGCATTTTGCAAGGCATTAGAAAGACAGTGTGCATGCCTTAATCACATGTTAGAAATCAGGAGTGCTGAAATAAAGCAGAACTACCATACTTTAGGCCTTTTATGGATCTTACTGCAAGGATATGAATTAATCACTCTGATAGTTGAAAGTTTTGTATCTGTTAGAAGAACATAGACTGTGTAATCCATCAGTTACCTTCTTACCTGCAGTTATCATTGATTTAAAGCAAGATTTCTGGTCTATACGTGGCCAGATAATGTATTTTGCCTTTGGTCTCTTGTGCCTCAATGTTAAAAAACACAGCGTTAGACTCATGCCTGTTGCCATAGGAACCACAAAGCAACTCGTCAGTGTCCGGACACCTGCACATAAAAAGTAAGTCAGAAATTAACATGAGGAACCCATGATGTAACCCTAAAAACAAGTGAGATTTTTCAAATTTACACCTACCAGCCAGTTTTATAACATCCAGAACTACTGAATTAGTAAGTTTGTTCAAAAGGCTTGAACCTGCGGCTTTAGGCTGTACTGCAGAAATATCACCTGACCTTCCAATTCCATGGATCAACCTAAACAAAAAAAGTTAAAAACACACATCAAGTTCTTTTGTATTGCAAAGCTGTAATTATTGCCGACTGCAGAGAATTTAATTTGATAAACAACTGTGGAAAACTTTGTACCCAATGCAACAGTATCTGCTACAATGAATTTGATTATAACAAACTACACATATTTGTATGAAATTCTGGTTTTTTTTTTAACAGGCTAACTACGTTCCAGCATGCAATAAAAACTATGAAAAGACCCATAACAACACCACCTTTAGCATCTGGCAGGTTTCCTTTTACATGCACCTCAGCACTTCCTGATGTTTGTTGAATTAGCATTATAAATGCTGACATGTTCAGACACACAACCAAGAAAAACAAAAATTGTCTACAGTGTAGTGTAGCATAGGCATAATGGTATTATAGATACCCCCTTGACAAATGATTCATCTCCAYAAGGCAAGGAAATATATACTATGACAAATATATATACAAAGTGATAATATCTATATATAGACATATATATGTATCACTTTGCCCATCTTCTACATCTTCACTTCATCTATCATTTTGTTATTCAATGTTATTTATCATGGAATACCATGTCTCTCTGCAATCTGTTTGCAAATTCTGGTTATAAACTGCATTTATAAATATTGAACATTATTTACTTCAGGAGAGAAGGATCCTGAAGTAATTTATAAAATACAAGTTTATAGAACTAACTTTACCCATGGCTGAAATGCAGCTAGTAACAGTATATGCCTACCTATGGGTTTAATTCTGTTTTTGTCTTGGCAACAGAGTAAAATGCAGGCCAATGAGTGCAGGACATTCAGAACTTAAATGGAGCATGGTTTAAGAGCTTAAATTTATTTTCCTGTTTCATGTTCTAAGTTGAAATAAATGAACACTTGATAATTAATTGGAACTTACACAKAATCCTCACTCCACCTAAAATATTTTCTTCCCTCATTCCTGCTGTGTTCTTCATAGCTGTGTCATATCAGTGTTTTTTATTTTCTGCACCTATGTACTCCTTCCTAAGTAGCAATCCTCCCAAAARCTGACCCTTGCTTTATTAAGCTAAAAGGAGAGACAGCTTGGAAACCATCTCCTGCTACCTCTATCACTCCCAAAGGCACCTGTAAAACTTATTGCAGAAACAGGTGGAGGGAGGACACATTGCTATTGCTAATACTCACAGGTGAAGCAGAGGCCAGGTGACAGAGCTGCATTGGAACAACAGTAGCTGAACACCAGTTCAGGCTCTTTCTGGCCAGAAGCCAGGCACACTTTCTCCAGCACTGTCCAAAAGCAGAACTTCCTCAGGTATCCTCATCTCTCCTACCTTGAATATCCTAATCTAGAGAGCTACACAAAACTAAAAAAGCCAAACTGTATTACTGATGATTACTGTCTTTCTCCATTAATTTTTCATGGTACAGTAGGGCTCATGAAAGCCACCAAGCCTAAGTAACTCAACTTCYATATAGTAAAGCTTACTAAATTTCTGGCCTCTAATATGCTTTTGTGTTAATCTTTCAAGAAGAAACACCCGGGAACTTTCACTTTGTTTCGATTCCTGCTGGATAAAACATTTCTGCAAGGTACTCAGCACAGAACTCAAACACACACAAAGAAGTATATTAATAAAGAAATGTTAATGCAGAGCCTCTRAATTTATAGCATCCAACACACCCATTAAGTCTCAGAAGGGCTATAAGCTATTAAAAGCTCTTTTTGTTTTTATAGATCTCCTGACTTCATATAAAATCTATTATAGGTAGACTGGGGTTTCATCTTCCTATCAACTAATCACATTATAAAGCTATGAATAAATATAACAAAATACAAATAGCTATTCACTAGCAATGTTCAATATTGTACAACTACAGTGTACAGCAGATTTTAAAAATATACAGATAAAAACCTGCATCTTTTTATAAAAGGAAAGTAATGCATAGATTATTTTAAATCAGTAAGATCTCTGGTTCCCTTGCAGAAGACAACAACTCAACAACTTCAACTGCTGCAAGTTCAGTATACCCTGACAAAACATTTGTGCTTCATTCAAGACTTTCCAATGAGTCATTAATGAAAACTTAATACAGAATGCTTTAGCAATTCAATTATCACATTATATTATTTTTCTCAAATGCTATCAAGGTCTTAGATAAACAAAAACACAATAAAAGATGCCCTTGGAAAGCATTAATAATAACAACCTGAATAATTAAAACTGTAAGCAGTTTGTACCTGYAATGCCTTCGGGCAACAAGTCCTGACACCACTCTTCCTTCCCTCTCACCCACGCCACAGTTGCCCAGGAAGTTATTGCTATCCATTATAGCAAGCTCATGAAGAAACAATTCAATGGTGCTTTCATCCCATCCATCTTCAGGACATTTTCCCTTAATAGTAATAATATAATGGCAAAATGAAACTTGGAAATTAAAAATGAACAAAACTTTATGCAACTTGTTTGATTAATGTTACCCTTCTTTCCCACTCAGAACAGCAGCTTGTATTTCTCATGATGCTCTTTTATACTTCCTAAGAACCTGTATTCAGAGAAAAGTTAAATAATGATTTTTACATGTATTAAKTGCAATTACATTAGCACATCCTGACATTAAAACCATCAGGATATTTTTCACCTTCAAGTATTCTTTATGGTACACACAAAACCACTTCTGGGCATACATGTTAATTACTCCCTAAAAGACTATAGATTATTAAATGTATTCTCTAGACATTATGTACAACTACAGGAACTCAACAGAGAAAACCACACTAAAGGGAAAATATTCAGATATTAGAGAACCAAAAACACCAGCAGAAGGGAAACATAGTTTCAACGTAACACATCTTCCTATCTCCACACTTTCTTTTCTAGTTATTAGGCAAGGATAGSTTAATAGTCAAGTAAACCACCTCCAGAAAATGTCAAAACCTACAACTAGAAAACTGCTCCTTCTTGTGCTCTTTGCTGTGTTAGTAACTACACTCATCTTTGTCAAATGCAGAAAAGATCCTCAAAAGAAAGGGACCCACACACCCATGAAGATTTTTTATAGGTCCACAGGTTTTTTCACACGCCCCAGTAACAAAATATCCACTTGAGAAAAACTAATTAGTTACTTAAGTGTGGCATCAAAGTTCAGTTGGAAACAGCTGATGACATGACAGAGGATGCTCAAGAACTGAAACATTTGCTAATTCATTGATAATATGCTGGAGGCAACAAAATACATTGCTTTGGCACCTTAGAAGTACCACTTTTTACTTCATGTAATATGTGCTAATATCTTACTGTTTTTAAACAGTTATTTAAGTGTTCGCTGAGCCTTTCTCGGCTAACGCACAACCCAGAGCAATAATTTCTTCTTCCTCCCAAACGCTGCCTTTCACTCGGGGGCTTCGTAAGGTCTCTGCCACCACGGCAGCGGCTCTGGCCGCCACTGGCCCGACACGGCGGTGGCGCCGTGCCAGAGGGCAGCGAGTCGGTGACACCGGGCCGGCCTGCGCGCTCCCGGGGGCAGCGAGTCGGTGACACCGGGCCGGCCTGCGCGCTCCCGGGGGCAGCGA